TCAATAAGAGTATATTTTTTATTTTATCTTTTTAAAGAAATACGCTTTTATTTTTAATTCAACCACAAAAAAATTTTCACATTAATAAAAATCGATAACAATGCACCGATTAGGTCAGTGCATTTTTATCGAATTTCCTACTATTAAAATCGGCTATACGTAATGAAACATGAGATCGGACGACAGAGAAGTACATCCCAAACGTTGTTGTGAGTTACTAAACTAAAATGATAAATGATTTTCTGTCGGTGCAGATAGTCTCGGATCGGAGAACGAACATTTGCAACGTTGCCGATTTTAGCGCTCCGTATAGTGTGCAATACCTAATCAAAAACTTAACGCACTGTATTATATAATATATTTGGCGACGAGGATAGGTGGATAGACGGGCCGCGGAAGTTATGGCTTTAATTGGTAATATTGAGCAGTTTAACCCTAAAAGTTCTGACATAACCTCATATATTGAGCGCATGGAAGAACTTTTTGAGTGTAACATTTGGTAACATAGTGGAAGAAAATAAAAATAGTTTCGATGTTCGTCACTTTCATGGGAGGGGAAGCGTATGGGGTATTAAAGGATTTGTTAGCACCAGAGTTACTACGGATGAAAACATATCAGCAATTGAAAGATGTTCTTGTTCTGCATTATAGTCCAAAAAGATTAATCATTGCAGAGAGGTATAACTTTTATTATCATTAAGAGATTATGCTCAAAAGTTGAAAAACCTTTCCAAGCACTGTCAATTTGGTAACTTCTTACATGAAGCCTTACGAGATAAGTTCGTTTGTGGATTGAAATCTGATACAATAAGAAGAAAATTACTAAAAGTAATTTAACATTCGAAAGAGCTCTTCAAGACGCCCAAAGTATGGCGGCGGTAGAAGACCAATCAAGATTTTTGCAGTCAGATACAGTGTTATCAAAGTTGGGTGCAACAAACAGCAAAAATTTACCAAAACAATCGTCATCTGAATAAGTGCCAGTGAAATCATGTTATCGGTGTAAAAATAATCATAACCCAGAAAGTTGTCCTGCGAAAAACTGGGAGTGTTACAATTGCCACAAAAGAGGCCACACCAGTCGTGCATGCAATAAAAGAAATTCAGTGAAGACAGTGCAATATGATCATAGTAAGTGTGAGGAAAATTCCTTAGAGTTAGGTTTTATTGGTAATGTAAAACAAGAGCATGAGAAACCATGTAAAGTCACATTAGATATAGAAGGTAAACTTTTAAATTTTTGAAGTAGATTCTGGATGCCATATGCATTGAAACCAAAAGTAGAGGAAGAGTTAGGTAGAATGGTCAGTATGGTCCATTGTCAAATAGTAGTAAGGTAAATAGTAGTAAGTGGGCTAGTCCTATAGTTATTGTACCCAAAGGGAATGTAAATGAAATTCAAATTTGTGTTGATTTTAAAAAGACGTTAAATATAGCCATAGATGGAGATCACTGTGTATTACCTTTGCCTAATGATATATATGCTAGTTTAGCAGATAGTAAATATTTTACAGTGTCAGACTTAAAAGGAGCATACCAGCAACTTGAAATAGGGGAAGAATCGAAAGAATATTTTACTATAAACACCCACACAACTACTGAACGATAACAAAAGAAATACAGTGGAGTATACCGAACTGAATAAAACCATAAGAAAACAGATAAAGGAAGATTTAAAGCATTACCAAGAAGACCGCATTAAGAAAATCATAGAGAAGAACAGAAGTTTAAAAACAATGAAGATAAATATAGGAAAAAGAAAAATAATCATGCTTAAAGCTGAGAACAATGAAGAAAGAGATCTAGGAGAAATAGTAAAAATCACAGAAAGATATTACACAGACCTATACAGTTCTAAAAATGACCCACCACTATCATCTAAACAGAATCTTACGAGGAAAATACAAAATGTTGGCTCAGAGGTATTACCAGAAATAACTGAAGATGAAATCGAAAAATCCATAAACGACATGAAAAGAAATAAAGCGGCCGGTGAGGACAAAATACTGGCGGAACTGCTAAAAGAAGGAGGAGACACGATAAAAAAAATGCTAAAAATACTGTTCAACAAATGTCTGTTTGAAGGTAAAATACCCAAACAATGGAGAAATGCCAACACAATCTTAATACATAAGAAAGGAGACAGAACAGACCTAAACAACTACCGTCCTATTTCCCTTTTGTCACAACTATATAATACCTTCACAAGAATAATAAACAACCGACTAACCTATAAACTTGATAACTACCAACCAGTGGAACAGGCCGGATTCAGAAAAGGATACAGCACAATCGACCATCTACATACGCTTAAAACCTTAATTGAGAAAACCAATGAATACAACCTTCCGCTGTACTTAGCATTCGTAGATTATGAAAAGGCTTTCGACAGCATTGAACACTGGGCGGTTGAAGAAGCTCTGGTCAATAGTAGAATAGATTCAAGATACCGACAATTGATACATGATATTTACCAAAACCAGGGTTGGGCTGTTTTAAAACAAGCTTTTTAAAACAACGTTTTAAAACATGTTTAAAAACACTGAAAAAAAACAGTTGCATTTTAAAACACCGTTTTAAAACATTGTTTTTAAACATAGTTTTTTTTCGTTATTGTTTATTATTATTTTGTTTATTAACATTTGTTATAAGACATTTGTGTTTGCTAATTTGCAAAATTGAAAACATAGATTATGGAGTAAGTAGGTGCAATAACAATATTAATGCTAAGTAAAAAGTAAAACTCAAAAAAAGTAACTGACTAAACTTTATTTATGTTCAAAGTACTGTTACGACAGTGCTGTAGTAACAATAACTAAACCAATACTCCTAATAAAGTTAAAAGAAAAAGAAAATTAAGAAATTAAGTAAATAATTATTGAATTACAACAGCATCTATTACACAGTCCTACATCCTGCAACTGATATGTGATACAAAAAATAAAAATAACAATGAATGTTCCTAAAAAAAATAAAAACTATAAATATAGAGCTTTTACGGTTAATAATGTAATCTTAAACATTTTTATTTAAATGTTGAAATATTGTTACTAGCTTAGCAGCTTTGTCACTTCCTAACCCATTCCTCAATTTCGAGTGAACTAGACCATATGAAGAAAATAGCCTCTCCACTCCAGCACTGGATGCAAACTCCGATGAAATAAACTGTTTTTGAGATAGCCACCATGTTAAAGAACTTATATTGTCTACTGTATTTTTTGCAAACAAATATTGTTTATTAAATGGCGGTGCTAAGGCACGAAATGATAGTATTTCGGGCATTACATTTGGGTGAAAATCCCCACCTCAGAGAGTTTCTGACCTAAGTACTGAGGGTCTAATAAATAAGCTAAATAATGCGCATCTGATATAGCCAGTTGAAAACGTGCTTCTGCTTTATGAAGTTCCAACACGTTGCTACAACCGTTAGATTGAGCTTCACGTTCACTTTGGAAATAACCCAGTAAGTCCTTCCAAATGTCTGTTGCATCTGCTATGGTGCAGGTATTTCTCTGGCATTTATCCAAAGCCCATATGTGTGCCAGTTGAGGTTTATGGGAATCCCCTATAGAAATCCAGTGAAGTATGTAATTATTTTAAAACGTTTTTTTTTTGTTTTAAAACAGTGTTTTTTTGTTTTAAAACAGTGTTTTTTTAGATGAAAAAAAACTGTTTTAAAACAAAAAACATTGTTTTTAAATAAAAAAAAACATGTTTTTTGTTGTTTTTTAAAAAAACAATTTTTTTGTCCAACCCTGACCAAAACGCAACCATGACCGTAATTCTGGACGACAAATTAATAACGGATAATATAAAAGTTAAACGAGGAGTCCGACAAGGCGATATAATTTCACCTAAACTGTTTACCTTGACCCTCGAAGACATAATAAAATCAACAGATTGGGAAAACAGAGGAATATGTATTAACGGAAAATACCTAAATCACCTTAGATATGCGGATGACATACTCCTGATCTCCTCGGAACGACAAGAACTGGAATTAATGCTGAATGAACTTCATGAAAAATCACTGCAAAAAGGCCTAAAAATTAACTTCAACAAAACAAAAGTAATGACAAACACGGAAGACCAAGAGGCAATAAAAATAAAAACAGAAAAAATAGAACAGGTAAATGAGTATATCTATCTAGGACAAGCAATCAGAGCTAATAGAGAAAATCAAACAGCCGAAATATCGAGACGAGTAAGAATGGCAGCGTTCGGCAAACTTTCTTACGTTCTAAAAAATCAAACAATCCCTCTATACTTACGAAGCAAGGTATATAACTCCTGTATCATACCGGTGCTCACCTACGGAGCACAGACATGGACATTTACACAGGCCAATTTGGATAGGATAAGGAAGGCACAAAGAGCGATGGAGAGACAAATGTTGGGTGTATCACTTAGAAATAAAAAACGTAACCAGTGAATCAGAACCAGAACAAAGACAGTAGACGCGATAGAACAAGCAGCAAAACTGAAATGGAAATGGGCTGGACACAATGAACGTCTCCAAGACGGACGATGGAACAATGCCATCGGAAAGTGGCGTCCATACAATGCAAAGAGATCAAGAGGCAGACCACAGATGAGGTGTAAAGATGACATCAGGAAACAAGGAGGTCCCACATGGCAGAGAACAGCTCAAGATAGGGAAAGATGGAGAGAACTGGGGGAGACCTATATCCAACAATGGAAGGATAGAGAATAGGTAGGAAAGGAAAGAGGCCCCTATGTTTTATGGGGTTTCATGTCAATTGTGAGGGGGTAAATAAATAATTTAGTTGAAGTTACTTGAGTCTTATTTATTATAATACTATAAATATATAACAGGTACAAGGGAGATAAAATAATAATTAACTTTTTGTAGTAACGTGTTATTGAATTATACTGGCAATAAATAATACCTCAGATTTTTATTAAAATCCCTCCCTTCTAAATATATAAATCTCTCTAATATTCTCAGCAATAGCAAAATTGTGATCATATTAGTTCAACTAAACGAACCATCTTACCCTTAAAGCATTCTCAATTTTCGTTTGGACAAATGTTTGGCACCAAAAATATCTGATAAATAAATATTCATTAAAGTCTATCCAATCATTACAATAATGATTATACATGCATCCTGTAAACTCCCAAAGTACGTGGTTTATTTGTTTCGAAGCTGATATTATAGCTCTATAATATTGAACTAGTCCTGAAAACAAAAAAAAAAAAGCATTTTAGCATTTTGAATAAAAAGAATCTCAGAAAACTTTTCTGCTGATTTTATGGGATTAAGGTATTGTTGAATATAAGACACTTACTAGTAATTCGGTGGTCTTTTTGCTCAATAAAATTCCACAGCGCACGATCGCAAGCTTCTCTTAAAGCAGCCAATAATCTCAAAAAAAATTGAGCCTCGTCTTCTTTGATCAAACTATACATAAAAAAACATTTAAAAGCATTGTTATTATTAACTTTTAAAATCAATAAAAAATTAACATTCTGAGTATTTTTACGAAAATTGTGATTAATGCTCTTATAACAGTAATGCATGCATGCGCATAGACAGTATTTATTTGTAACGGTTAAATTACAAACACATTAGTTCCACAGATATAGGCCAGGGAAATAAGCAAAAAAAGTACCCTGTTTTTGACACTCGTCCGGCCAGGCAAACGACAGTTGTTTTGAGTAGTATGGATCTCTGTAACAAAAACCTATATGTTTCCTGCAGTCGATTTTTTGGACTTAATTAGTTATTAACAAATTAAGGTCAAAAAACGGAAATTTTTGCTTTTTTCTTCTATCAGCAAAAAATGAAGCAATTTAAACAAATTTTAGAAGAGAGGAAACTTATAAGTTATATAAAAACCTTCAAAATGGCGTTTTCAAAATGTTTCTATCCTTATTTGTTGCTTAGAAAGTTGCAAAATAAGTCAAAAATTTCGGTTTTTTATAAATGTTAATAACTTTTTTGAAAATAAACTTATAATATTTATATTTCACGGAATGATGTGTCTTGTAGTGCTTAAAATAGGGTTAAAATTTCAAAGTGATCGATCCAAAAGTGTAAAAGTTATTTTATTTGTTTATCCAAATTAACATTTTTTGCAACAATATGTCAGAAATTTATAAAGTTTTGGTAATTGTAAGGGTTGTTTCTGGTAGAAGAAGACTTGTTTTATTGTTTACATTAAAAAAAATTAAGAAAATTAATTTTAAATATTGCAAAATAATTTTGCAAAAACATGTCGATTTTTTGCTTATAAACAATTGGAATAACTTTTTAATCATTGACTGTAAAAATATTATTTTTACATATTTAAAAGCTTGAATTTTTTCACAAATTTAAATAAAAAAAAATTGTCCTTAAATAATTTGGTACAAAGTTAGCCCCTTTTTTTATTTAATTCATAGCACCTTTGTTTATAACAATTAAGAAATCTAATTAGCGCTATTTGAAAGAATGTACATTATAGTTTTAAAGTACTAAATTTTAAAATTATTGCCCTTTAATGGAATCGTCCACAAAGCTTCAAAATGTATGTAAAATCGGACGGCTTTGAAACTCTCGGGAGCTGAAGGGAGGGGGAAGGCGCTGTTAACTGTATCTCTGTTCCTTTTTTTATGTATTTCAACGTTTCTTTTTGAACTTGTATGTACTTTTTGCGTACATTACGAATATGCATTATTTCAATAAATAAATTGTCAAATAAACCAACTAATTTGTTTAAAAACAATTTATTTTATTTTTTTTAATAGTATTTAAATTAAGTTTGAATGTAAAACAGAAGTATTTGTCATTTCCTATATTTTGGGGACTAAGCCACAATCTAAGTTTATAATAAGTTTATTTTTGATGTTTCGATTTCTACTTCGGAAATCTTTCTCCGAATGCAGAACATTAATTAATTAATCAAATTTTGTTTTTGGTTACTTGGTAGAAAATTTTTCTGATAACTCTTTTGGGTGATTGATTAGTGTGAGGAAGCTCAGTAGATCTGTTTTAGTAAAAATTACAAAAAAAAGTTATTGACAAAAATTCTAGACAGCTTTAAACTCGACATTTTAAAATTAGTTACAATCTTACAGGGTGTTCTATAAGATTGTGGCAGACCAAACTTGTTTTTTTTTTTTAATGAAATACCCTGTATTTTATTTTAAATTTGAAATCTGCTTCACTTCCACATCACAATAATGTAAAGTTTTATTATGTTCTACCGGGTATTTAAAAAGTTATAACCAATATTACCTGAAAATCGTATCAAGTTAATAATATTTCTATGACAATGGTTTGCGCCAACTCAACGCTCGTCAGCAATCTGAATACAAAGTAGTGTAGCGACACGTTGGCAGTTATAGGAGGTTGCCAGATTGAATAGATTTCGCACAATCGGGATGACCGCCATTACCCACTGACCGGTATTTGCACAGTTTACCCTAAATAATTCTTATTCTTCCCTATGCTACTACCCCTTATTTTTATTCTTTATTTTCTTGCTATGTTTACATTACAGTAGCATAGATTCAAGATACCGACAATTGATACATGATTTACCAAAACGCAACCATGATCGTAATTCTGGACGACAAATTAATAACGGATAATATAAAAGTTAAACGAGGAGTCCGACAAGGCGATATAATTTCACCTAAACTGTTTACCTTGACCCTTCGAAGATATAATAAAATCAACAGATTGGGAAAACAGGAATATGTATTAACGGAAAGTACCTAAATCACCTATGCGGATGATATACTCCTGATCTCCTCGGAACGACAAGAACTGGAATTAATGTTGAATGAACTTCATGAAAAAATCACTGCAAAAAGGCCTAAAAATTAACTTCAACAAAACAAAAGTAGTAACAAACACGGAAGACCAAGAGGCAATAAAAATACAAACAGAAAAAATAGAACAGGTAAATGAGTATATCTATCTAGGACAAGCAATCAGAGCTAACAGAAAATCAAACAGCCGAAATATCGAGACGAGTAAGAATGGGATGGGCAGCGTTCGGCAAACTTTCTTACGTTCTAAAAAATAAAACAATCCCTCTATACCTACGAAGCAAGGTATATAACTCCTGTATAATACCGGTGCTCACCTACGGAGCACAGACATGGACATTTACACAGGCCAATTTGGATAAGATAAGGAAGGCACAAAGAGCGATGGAGAGACAAATGTTGGGTGTATCACTTAAAGATAGAAAACGTAACCAGTGGATCAGGACCAGAACAAAGACAGTAGACGCGATAGAACAAGCAGCAAAACTGAAATGGAAATGGGCTGGACACAATGAACGTCTCCAAGATGGACGATGGAACAATGCCATCGGAAAGTGGCGTCCATACAATGCAAAGAGATCAAGAGGCAGACCACAGATGAGGTGGAAAGATGACATCAGGAAACAAGGAGATCCCACATGGCAGAGAACAGCTCAAGATAGGGAAAGATGGAGAGAACTGGGGGAGACCTATATCCAACAATGGAAGGATAGAGAATAGGTTAAAAAAAAATGTTGATTTCTAGCCCATGTTGTTTATCTTCACCAATTATTTTCTTCATCATTCTTATTAATCCTCTTAATTTTTCCTTTCATCTAAATATTCGTAACATGTTTTCTGAATAGTTTAATGGTATTTATCTAATGTAATAACGACAAAATCAAATGGGCATAAAACTCATTTGAGTAATATAAATCAATCAATTTATATCAAAAATTTTCACAGTATTATTCGAACTTCCAAAGCGATAGGTCGACAATAATAAGCGCCCAGTGTCTTTTTCTACTAATTAACTCGATTTTAAATTAGTACAGGTGATTCCGACACTGTTACTCGCAAATTTTAAGGACTTAAAATGGTAATAAATACGTCTATAAGCGGCCCCCCATGGGAAGCGATTTCCCCAAAGACGCCAATAGGTGATTTAAATTTTTCATGTGTTAGTGATAATAGTGAAATCCAGTTTAATAGAAAATGTTGATGATTCGACAGCGAAAAATGCGAATAAAACCAGTGACTGTACCACAATCTTGCCAAAATCAGAAATTCTAACCGCACAAAAAGCAGTAGCGATAAAATTTTTCAACGTCAAATCAGATAAGTACAATTTTAATAATGTTTATGTTTACATAGAAAAAAACAAACAATGAAAATATATGCCGTTTGCATCCCTTAACGGTAGCGCATATTTTGCATAAAAAGTTGAATATTCCCAATATTATTGAAATTAAAGGCATTGAAAAAAACAGAATTAAAGTTTTGTTAAGATCAATTTGTGATGCAAATATTTTGGTTAAAAATTTAAAGTTAAAAAATGAAATGTGGTAGCTTATATTTCTAATCATCTACTAGAAATTAAAGGCATAATCGGAGATGTTGATACCCAATACGATAAAAATGATTAATTAGGTAACAATGAATCTTCCTCCCCCATACTAGGTTTCAAACGAACTTTTAGAAGGGTTGACACGAAAGGAAAACTAACTATGTGCCGAAAAGGACTGTAATAGTCACCTTTGAGGGAAATATTTTACCTAGCTACATTGCAATAAATAGTGTATTTTTTGCTGTTGAAATCTATATTGGCAAAGTCCCTCAGTGTTATAATTGTTTAAGATTTTGACATGTCTCCAAGCAGTGTCGCAGTACACAAGCACATTGCATAAAATAAGGAAAAACCAAAAATGAAGATCATGCGTGTCAGGATAATGATATTTAGGACATCTATTGCAATAGTAAGGATCATGTATCCATTTCCAAGAAATGTCCAAAATATGAACTACAAAAGAAAATCAAAAACGTACTGATTAAACAAAAAGCTTCTTTAATCGAGGCTAACCCTTACTGTGAATCATCCTTCTCGGGATTGTTCACTCATAATAGATATTTCACACTAGAAAATATCGGAAATAGTTTTACTCCCTGCCAACATTCACAAAAAATTCAACCCCTTCTGCTGCCACACAAGTAATCACGCGTAGAAACCAAAACGTATCATCAAATAACACATCACAACCCTCCTCAAATCACTATAGCATAGCGAAAAAATGAAAATTAATCTCTCCTACCCCACAGTCCCCACATAATGTACCTATGTTTTCTTTTAATCTTGGGCCCGAAAACCCCTTCCTGTTAATTTAAACATCCCTAATTGTCAAAATAAACCAGATCAGACAGTTCTATAAACACTTTCCTATAAACACAGTAATTTCCAATTACATTTTTAATTTAATCACAAATATTCAAACTGTAGATGATATAAAAACAATAAGTCTAGATAGTATTTACCATGGAATAAAACGATTTTGGAGAATATCATCAATAAATAACATCTTCACAGAACTTAAATCATTAAAAATTTTGCAATGGAAACGCTCGATCCGTTGTTTCGAATAAAAACAGTTTAGTTCATTTTTTAACCAC